AAACCCGTTAAAATACATATTTAGAGATAGAGAGAAAAAATATTATCTTACATTTTGCCGATGGGTTACTCTTCAATATGTGATCTGCCATGGGGAGGAGAGGTTAGGATGACAGCTGTTCATTACAATTCCTTCTTTATTAGAAGAGCTTAATTCTGCTTTTGGCTGGCTGGCCCATATCTGCTAGCTCTACCACAGAACAGCACTACTAAAAGCTCCTCCTTCATGTCGGCATCTGTCTATTTACTCTCAATAACAAGCAAAAACAAAGCTTTCCACAATGCCGTTTCACAGTGCTAAAAATGGGCTGCGAGCAAGGTTAACAGTTTGAAACAGGAAGAAATACTCTTACAGATATGTCCAAATCTCAATAGGTGGAGATTCGTGGTCACTCAAACCATCAAATTAGCATGAGGGGAGTTACATTTTTACATGTGCATCAAAAAAAAAAATTCTCTATAGAATTGGCAGCCAAGGAGTGGAAGACTGTAGGACAAAACTGTTGAATGTACAGGCACCATTTTTACACTAATGTATATGCCATGCAATCCCAGTGACTTCATATGGTTGATGTAACTGTTATTTCAATTTTCACATGAGAATTTGAATTCATGCATTTAAAAAAAATGCTTTCCAGTTGAGTTTTATATAGGGCAAGATAGCATAGAAAAGTGTAAGGAAGTTTAATAGGCTTAAAGCCTTTTGAATGTATGTTTCAACTATGGATGAGCTAACAGGCAAATGCCTGTTATCATAGGTGCCTGAGGATAAACCCAAAATACTCAACCTTCCCCTGGGCACCCTGAATTGATGAGGTAACCAGGCGTTTTATTCCCAGAAGTGCTGCCTCCAGAATGTGGTGCACTGTTTTCTATTAAGAATGGCTAACATGCACCTTCCAGCATTGCAACTAGATTCCTAATGAAAGCTATAATGCTTCTTAACTTTGTATTTGTAACACATAAACTCTGTAGGCAATATGGCAATGTTCTGATAATAGTTTCCTGTCACGCTGGCCAGACCAGCCTTCAAACTTATAGAACAGCTCAGTGTAAGCTCGAAAGCTTGTCTCTCTCACCAACAGAAGTTGGTCCAATAAATGATATTACCTCTTCCATGTTGTCTCTACAATAAAATAGTAAGACCAGAAAAATAAGATACAAAAAAAATCAATATGTCCAGAAATTAAGTGCTAACTATGTATGAAAACATATTTACTATTTAATCTCAGCCCTTTCTCAGAACATTATCCTTGTTTTCTTTACATAATCGCTAAATACTGGGCTAAAATTAGGTCAAAAATTCAGATCAGATCATCTGACTCGGTCCAGCAAGATGAGAGAGAGACTAAATTTTTGCTCAGTCCAATATGAGGCATGTTTTATTTCTTGTAACTTATAAATGATCCATACAATATTTCTTCCATAATTAACCTATCAACATGTGTTGAATTAACAATCATACCAAAAGGTACATCAATGCCACTGTTAGTGCACAAATACAATGCTATGTAGCACTCCTAACCCTTTCTCAAGAAAAATTTATAATGCAAGGGCATTTTAATTTTTGTAGGTCATTTTTCACATTGTATTTACAGAACACTGGCACCATCTAATGCATTTCACTGAATTATTTTATCTATCTTAAAAGTTTCTACCCATGTAACTGAGAAAATAAATAAATTACTCCATGCTATTTTGTTAAAAACCGTGATCAACCTTCTTCTAAAAAGAATCATTTTGTACTCAAAATGAATGGCTCCCAAAAATGGTATTATTAATGCCAGGGAATGTTCTGGAAATTGTATCCTCAGTCAGGAACACTTCTAACCCAAACAACATTTGTTTTGAGTTTTTTACCTCAGCACACTTCATCATGTGGTCTCTGGTCTTTTCATGATTTTATGCCTGCATGTGTTCCCTAGCAACTACTGTATCTCTCTAGATCATATGTGCAGGAACCAAAAGTAATCTAAAAGACCAAAGTTAATAGTGCAAATACTTAAGGATAGTTGCATGAAACAAAGAGGGGAAGTAATAATCTTATGCCATATTTTATGCCTGCCACTTGTCAACAGGGAACATGGCATTGGATAAATCCCTTGAGGTCTCCACAGGGAGCAGACTTACTTGCAATCAACTTAAGTGGTTTTTGATGTCATTGCTCTTTTAGACAAGTCGGAGTTCTTTCAGGTTATCACAGTTTTCAGTTCTCTTAATAAAAGGGGAGAATAGCCCCCCCTTTCCCACCCCAGACTGTGTGCAGGGGAACCTGTGGGAGGGAGCTAAAGGGAAGGAAAACTTGTTTCCCAGTCTATGGAACATTCAGCAAGAGGCCAGGGCCATTTTCAAAGAGTTTTTGTGCCTCTATGCAGCCGTGGTGCCCTTCAGACATACGAACTCCCTGGCTGTGTCTCCCCACTGCAAGTGCTTCTGTGGCCAGCAACAGCCCCCAGAAGGATCCCTGCTATCAGGGGAGGCTCTATCAGAATGGTAATGTGGCCTCAGGTTTTATTATCCTTCCTGGAAGGCCACTGGGTGGCATGATGCAAATCCATCCCCAGATCTACTTCCATCCAGCACACCCCGGACTCCTTTCTTCCTGAGAAAGGAGAGATTACCACCCCACCGACCCCTGTCAGGCACACAAATCTGGGAAGCATGGCCTGGCTGTGGGTGGTTGGCCTGTTTCCTCAGCCCAGGATGGACTCATTTTCACACCCACATCTCTTTCTGGGCACAGTTTGATTGTTTGGTGGCTGAACTGAAAAATAATAATACCCCCCCCACACACACACACACACACACACACACTA